CATGTTAGTGGAGTAAAAATTACCAAAATAAATGTCGTTAACACTTCAAGGTAAGTATGTGGAAACATACTAGTATTGAAGACAGCTTGAAAAAGTTACTTAGCATAAGCTGTGTGATTACCCAAAATATTCTTATATATGCACATCATTTAGCTTTAAGAAAACAAAGTCAAAACTGTAAAAAAATTTGCATGTTGAAGCATTTTTAACAGCAATTTTGAATATGTCTTTAAAATGCTTTTGCATAGTTTGCCCCCTGTACAAGAAGCAAAACCATGAAGAATTGCTATACAATTATTCTAAAACGGAAAATAACGTTCATTCCCATTTCTTATAAGGGAAAATTAGTAAGTCACAGAATATATTTAACTGTGAAGAATTGCAGTTCATGGATCATTGTCCAATATTCTCCTTACATCCATCTTTCTTTTTTCTGAATCTCCAGCCATTGGCACTCTGCAACGTATACCTTGATTTAAATTCACGGTGCTACACAGTGATTTTCAGTAGACGATCCCGTTGTTCTAATAAACATATAAGGTCATTTTAGTATATACTATTGCTGGAATTAAAACCCATGAGTGTGACCCTATCTGCCTAAAGAAGACATTACCTGTCTTTGCTTTTTTTTCTTCCTCTCTAAACATGAAGTCCTTCAAGAGCTGTTTTCTGTCAACAAAACCTGAGGGCTCTTGTTTTCTTAAGTGACAACTTTCTCAGAAGCCATGCAGGCTATAAAGAATGATCACAGAAAGCATCCTACCACAAATTAATACAAAACTCATCTTTTCAGCAGACTGCTTTTTCAAACACACACAAGTATGTAACCAAATTAAAGTGGTGCTATGATCCTATAAATAATCTCCTGCTATTCTACTATTTCTTCTGCAGGATGGGAAAGAAGCCTTTTGCTTCTGTTACTAAGCACTTGGTAGATCCTCACATGTTATGGCAACAGGAACTCTATAGCAGGTAAATAAACAGATAATAAGGTTACACAGAATTCAGCATGCATCGGAAGTGCATGGCGTGGCCCATAAACAACTGCGGTCAGGGAATTTGAAGACACATTGAAAAGCTGCCCCTCCACACAACCAACCACCAGACTTGAATTTCTAGTTCTTTCTAACTTCTGTTCCTAGCGATGACACCAATGTGACCTGAACCAAATCAACAAACAGCATTTTCTATAGTGCTTTAAATATTGGTCAGGCTGTCACTAGCATGAAGCAAGATGCAGAATTGTAAATTAATATTTGGCAAACAGGTGGTATCTGAAAGTGACACCGACCCATAAAAGTACTTTGAGAACCAACTGACTGCAGTCACAGAAAACATCGATGCATTTGCATCAACGCAGAGGAAGCAAAGGTCTCTCCGTCTACCTTGATGTCCCTCCGCTGTGGGAAAGGCTGTCTTCACAGTCAGGGAGAGAGCGGTGAATTCTTCTTTTAATTTAAACAAATGAAAAAAGATAAACCCCAAAGATTTTGAAGAATTCCTTAAAACACTCATGGAGAACAAATAACAAACGTGTTAATACTAGCTTTCAAAATGTAAAATGTTGTATTACTGCGAAGTATTGGTATTGTTTCTGCAGGGTTTTTTTTGTGGCATGAACTTAGACTGCTTTTGCTGATGAAGCTTTTCAGGTCCCCTGAAAATAAATACCAGTATCATTGGTATAATGATAACATATGCAGATGAGCATGTACACATCCAGATACTTATTTAATTTAGGTCGATTTGCTCATTGTCCCTGTAGGCTGTATTATTTGTGTGATTATAGAGCTCTTAATGCAAACTCGTAACAAACATGAAAATAATATGAGGCGGTATCATACCATCAGTTTTCAGGCAGATTGGCTGAGGATTTCTGTCTACAAACAAAGGGCATGACATTGCACATAAATCTGATCTAAATCTACACAAAATAAAATTAAAGTTAAAGTTAAGACTCCAAATTCAATCTGTTACTATGTAACTCAGTTTAATGTAGTGTTCCTCAGGAAGCTGCTCCAAATACTCCTAAATTATTTTCCCCTTCCCCAGAATAAGCATCTTGATTGCTTATATTTGGACCACACTGCAGAAGGTTGTCAACACGAGTTATCTTTCTTGCCACAAGCTTGCTTTAGTCAATGCAGAAGTCTGACATTACCCAACAAACCCAGTGTTTCTGGTCACCTGAACAAAGCAACCTTCTTAAATGACATTAGCCTTCAGCCGACATACAACCACCAGCAAAATGCCAGAGCATCTGTCAGTGACATACCAATGTTGTCTGCTGCCGCAGCCTCTCGAAGGGAGGAGGTGGGTTTGCACAAATTTCTACAACGCAGCCATGCTGGAGGCAGCACAGCAAGAAAAGCTCTTGTAGATACTAACCCCGTTACAGTCTTTTTTGGTTCTCTCCACTAATTGAGGTAAAATATTTCTTTATGCATTTATTTCCATGTTCCTGTAAAAAAAGAGCTTACATAAGCATCAAGCCATGGAGAAAGGGTTTTTTTAATCTGTTTCTCATCTCTCTGAAATTTTTTGTTTCTGTCACATACAAAGCTGAAGGAAAGCATTAAGAGGTGGGTAGAAGTATGCTCCTGTCATGAGAAGGATGCTCGAAACTGGGCAAGTATGTGAACGTGTAAAAAAAAAATTAAAATTCTCTTTTGTCTGTGAAGAGCTGTTGTGAGCTATCAACAAACATTTTTTTATTTATATTATATTAAATTTCATGCACGGGGGGCAATGGGGAAGTGAAGATATTGAGAATCTTTTAGCTTTTCTCATTAAACAGAAAATTCTCTCACGACCATAACCAGAGAACAAGAAAAAAACCTACCACATCAAGTGAAGTTTGTGAGTTGTATTTAGATTTTGGATTTGAGGAAAATAGGGAGAACAGTACAGAAAATGACTCGTGCTATTTGAGGAAAAGATTTGCATTAAAAAGAGTTTGGAAGAGCTCTGACAATGAATCGTCCCTGCTGAGGAGCTGGACCAGAAGACCGATGGATTTTGGTCTGTTGGTAGTCTGCAGAGTGAGGTGACTTCTCTGTGCTCCCCAAATGCCCAATGAATCTTCCCTGACCCATTCTGAGGACCTGTGGGATGGCACGGCAAAGGAGCCTACAGTCTCACATCCAGCCTGCTGTCCAAGGGGACATAGGCATGTAGGAATAATAATCCAATAAAAAGGTTTACATATTCCTTCCTCCACCTCACTCCTCCACCCTGTTTTTCATTTCATATCACTATCCCCTGTTGCCAAGAGGAGTTTATCTATGGTGTTTGGTAAGGGAGCACTAAACACATTATAGTGCTATTTTAAATGACATCACAACTAACTAGATATTTTAATTGAAGGTAAATAACCAACATTATTGCCATTTGAATGATAGCAATAATGGAGAGTAATGGCACCACTGAGGAATCAATTGCTATTTCCCTCATAAACCATAAACCATTCAGAGATTTATAATGCTTTTTTAATGATCAGCCCTTCTAGATGTTGAGCAGCTCCTCCGAGATCCTGAGTCTTCTGGCTGCCTGCTGAAGTCAACAGGAATGGGGGGCAGGGGGTCTCAGTATCACGTATCTTTGTGCCCACCAGGACGAAGCTTGTCACACCAGTTATCAGCCTCAAGCAAAGGAAAGCTTGGGATTTTACCGCACTGCTCCGATACAGTGTGCCCCAAGCCCCAAAACAGGGACACTTGACTCAACCACTGTTTCATAACCTGCTTAAGAATAAAAATGCATTGTGCATTTGTGTGCATTTCATGCCCTCTTAAGGTAGGTATAGCAAGTAACCTTGTGTAAGAAACCACGTTGACTGCTTGCTTCCCTCTGCATACCTAAATGTGTTCCCTTCGAATTTTATCTGTCCTGAGACTATTTTAGCTAATGCGGTACTATCCCGTGCACCAGTTGGTTCAGTGGCATCATATCACGCACAAACATCTGTGGATCCAGAGTGCTGGAGGAAACGTCCCCTGTGTTCTGCGCTTGGAAGGACCGTCCCCCTCCCCTGGTGCCATGGCCCAGAGGCAGTGTCAATGTCTCAGGTTTATTTTTTCAGCTGGAGTCAATGGCGTTTTCCTATACACAGACCTGTGCCGACAAATTCCACCTCCTTTACTCCTGAGAGTATTCTCATTGAGTTCAATGGGGTTATCCTCATCACAAAGAGGATACAAAACCAGTCATTACATTTTCATTTTTAGCTTGCTCTACTTTGGTTTTGAATCAAAAGCAGCCTTTTTAAGCTCCAGAGAGCACCTACGATGTGATCTGAACTCATCAATTCTCTTTTAATAGACCAAACTGGTCCATTCAAGCACTACCAAGGATCTTGTGATAATATTGCAAGAGCTGGTTACAATGGCAATGAATCTTGACTCAGGATGTGGGAAGAGAGCAGAGAAAAACCCAGCCAAGACAGATGAACTCCTCCAGCCAGCCAGGAAGGGACCACATGCTTAAAGATGCACAGAATTTATTTTAAAAATCCAGACTTGGTCTGGTGAAAAACAGGAGCGTTAATCCCTATATATTCATGTCATGAAAAATATTGCTGTTAATAGGACAAAAGCATGAACAGCAGCCACTGCCCCTCTCTCTTGTGTAGGTCTTCAGGGATCAGGAGTTTCACTAGGCCTACCTCCATGGCTAACATTCTGGGGTTTCCAACCCGTTTCTAGAGCAATTTACTTAGCATCTGGTGCACATCCAATCTAAGTTTTGAAAAAGCAGCCGGCCCAACCTGCTCCCACTTAAGTCAATAACAAAACTCCCATTGACTTCAAGGAGAGCAAAAGCAGGCCAGTTGTTAACAGGGAATTGGTGCCTATTGTTCAGCAGAGCATGTCGGACTAGCGTGTATCAACTCCATGTATCAAAGGGAGTTACTAGAGGAAATCCCCTGAATATTTATGCCATAGTTGGAGGGGAGGGCTGTTTTTCCCTCTCCCACATACCTCTACCGTGATACGTTAGCTATGCGAATGCACACAGTCCTCGTCGCAAGTTCAACAATCCTTACAGACCCTCGGATTTCCCTTCGTTCCCTCTGCGGTGGAAGTAGCCCGACGGAAAAAGAGGTCTGCGGCATATCGTGGTTCTTCACGGGTTTCCAGAAATCCTGAATCATCTTCAAGAGCCAATGTGGCCTCAGTGGATTTGCTATAGTGCTGCTACAGTGTGTGTGTGTGTGTGTCTGAGTTTGTGTGTGTGTACAGAAATAATATGTCCAAATTAGCTTTGGGAGAGCTAAAGGGGAACCAGTTACATACTGGGGTTTCCCAGAGATTTCCAGTGAGATCAGACGAGCTCCCCGGCAGGATTCAGTACAAACGGAACAACGCAATATTACAGTGTATCTAGTTTCACGCAGATTTTAATTAAATGGGACCAGCAAGATTTGAGCCTGCATGCTCACTATAATTAACAAATAATATTTTTTTAGACAGCACATCAACACTATCCATATTACCAGGAAACAAAGTGTAACCATAATGTATGCTTTAAGGCCCATATATATTTCCACCTCGTGAGACTTGGAGGCTGCAGGGAGTGGAGTTTCACAGAATAAAAGCAATGAGTGCAGCAGAATTGGGGTCATCCAACCTGTAGCTAATGGAAATACGTCTTCCCATCATGTCGTCATGATGTAGCATACAAATCTAGACCTCAGTCAGACAAACATTTACACCACCCGCTTAGTTTTTGTGCCTAGAGGAGCCCAACTGCCATGGATGGCACCGGTAAATATGGGACAAAATAAGGAAAACAAGAATGTGAGTATTTGTAAGCAGAGCCTCAAAACATATGTTTTTAAAGGGTGAGAGAGAATGAAAGTGTGCTTCACTATACACTTCAGATGATCCAGTCTCACTGCTCATTCAAGTTCTGGGTTTGACAGCTTCCCACTGTATCCTTTATATACCACCCGTTGTGAGTAAGCATTGAGGGGACATGCAACCATTAATCACCATTATGGATTTCCTCCCTTCTGTTGGCTTTGACCTACAAGCTTAGGGGCAGATCCTGCAGCCTTTACTCCTTCCTGCAGTCCTTTGCCCAAGCGATCAGCCCTACTTCACTCAGAGAGAGCTCGAAGCGCTGCAGCATCTGTAGGATCGGGCGCTCAGTTTCTTCCACCAGCCTCCCATTCAAATATGCAATGGCTCTTAATCCTTAGCAGG